GTTGCATTATCTGCGTACATGGACTTTAACAGATTCTGATCCTGCGACCTCTGAAATGCAACTAAATTGTGTTTAGCGTTGTTAACTTTGTTATCATGAATATGTCATTTTTTTTTATTTTTTTTTATTTTTATTTTTAATTTTTTTAATCTGTAATCGCCCATACTGCTAAAACGTATTACTTGCGTTTCGTGGTTGACCTCGTGGAGCAGTAATTGCCGAGCAAAAACAACTGCTAAGCGTACGGAACAATTCAGTCCAAAGTGTAAAAATCGTGTCTTTTTATATTTCATTAACGCTGGCTTTATCATAATAAGCGAACAGCAATAGACCCCCTTCATTATATTGTCATTTATTATAGCAGGGGTACTTATAGTAGGGAAATGACTTAAACAGCTGACATATCTTATGTACATTGTTATTTGTTAATAGGAAAATAGTACATGTATATGTTGTATTGGTACTGTACACCGGGAAGTTTTCGCTGCAGTTTAACTTCCGCGCTTTTGACCCTCTATACTGATGGCGAATTTATGATAACAAAGAATATAACTCAACAAAAAAATGACAAAATTGTCAAATGTGAAGGGCGTAGTACACACCAGACGGATATTGATTTAACCTGTGTGGGGCGAAAGGTTCAAGGTAAAAAGTACGTATTTGTCTGAAGTTACCACAATCAAACATTTTTTATTTATCTTACGTTGAGGAGACAATGGGCTTCCATTCTACACAAAATGAAATGTTTTTATGACGAAAAATGCAGGTTTATTGTAAAGTTATAATTATATCATCACAGGGAAATTGAGCACAATACTAATTTTATACATACTGAAAAATTGTCTAACGTTACTTTGTAGCCTTAATGTATACCTGATGCTAAGACATTAAACGTCTATTTATTTATTATTGGTCAATTGAATGTTATGTTTCCATACATGATGAAACATGATATTCACCGTTGTTGAAGTGATGTCTAAAAACGTTTTTGATTAGAATAAAATGATAAATATGTGTTTTCTAGATTTTGATGTCAATAACAAAATATTCTTTGAATCAGATATTTTTTGAAGAAAACTAATCCATTTCCCGGAGGTTAGTTATCATATTTGTCGTTTTCATTGTGTTAACACCGTATTGCTTGAGTAAAAACCGTTTTTAGTACGTACGTAATTATATGATAAGTGGTAATTACGAGAAGTCTATTTCAAGAGTATACTAGCTATGTCCTACTTTTAAATATATCATCAACACGAGATAATTACATTGATGTCTGAATAAAGACACAGCATTGCAAAATTACAACATTTAACATATTGCCCATACCAGCAAACAGCTTATGTAGGATGCAGAAACAATAATATTAAAAAAAGTGCTGAAGCGGTTGTAGTGTATTTTCGTAATATGTATTTGTCTTATTCAAAAATAAGTAAATAAAATGTAACAAGATAATATGATTATGATTTTAAAAACGATACATCTAAACATGGCCATCACTCTATTAGAAAACCATAAACTATCTTACCTTTTACAAGCCGGAAGACGAGAGACAGATACTGCTTTAGAGTTGTGTGTGAATAAAAATGGAATGTCTTATCTTTCATTCTGCTGATAGTACAGCGACACGTATTGAGAATGTTTCTTGTACTCTTATCGACATTCGTCTATATCCTTTTAATCGACAATCTGTCAACTTAATATTATAATGATACACAAAGAACAAACAAACGTGGTAATACTAATATAAAATATTTATAATTGCATACTATTAATATGGCACAAATGATTAGGTATATATTGCAAATTTGGTGGTTTATGAATAACATACAAATAAAAAGAAAATCTATCGGTACCAGTGTAAATATAATCCTTTTACAAGTTGATAGTATTGCTTCGTTTCGAAAATACGTAAAATAACTAATGTTGAAGGTTATAAAAAAGGAATGTCTACTCATATAGCGTCAAATCTAAAATAATATCCCCCACAACGTCATTAATTAGCTAAATACTAAAATTTAACTGTAACATCGGTATTAGGTAGATGGAGTTCAGGTATAATAAAGAAATATTGATGAATGCCATACTAATTTTTTGTAATACATCCACTCTTTACTGGAAACTGATGTTTTAACACTCTATGCTCGTAATTGTCATGCCTTTATCAATAATAAAATGTACGAGAAATTTTCATGTGTATTATATACATTTATATTACATTAACTATTGATAGCTTTTTCCGTTGTTGCTAGCATTGCTAATATAAGTTCGCTATTTCTCCGTGAATGTTATATTCCGCTTTTCTGTAATCGGTTAGTATTGTATGGTTAAATTAACAGGGACTATTAGCTGAAATATTAAGAATAGAAGGAAGAAAGGATAACAATATGAATAAATTGTCCCCAAACTCGTTTTGGTGACTTACTAAAACTAATAATTTTAATAGAGTTAAGAACAATGACGCAGTTTCCTTGTGTCAGTCTTGAGATCACAGCAGTAATCTTTCTATTAGTGTGAAGATATTAAAAAGATCTAAGAGATTTATTGTATCGTCGCGGCTATTCAAAAGTGTATTTGCAATGACATAACACGCATAAACCCTTTTAGACGATCATCCCCGATTAAGTATCGATACTCAAGATAAAAAGAAGATATTGTCAGATGTTGGATAACGGAATGATATATGTTTTACTTTGAAGTACCAGTGGTCCTTTGTTTTCGTCAGACACATGCAATAACGTTAACTGCCACACAGGGCTTTATATCAAAGTCCAATGCGATTTAAAATAAGTTGAAAAACAACTAATGCATATACACATTCCTGTCCCTTGAAACGATACGACATATAATCGATACAAAAAGGACAAATATTCATTAGTATATGAAATTTCCGATTCATTATATACACAATAACGGTTGAATATACAACACACATTGCTATGTAAGTTATGTAAAAACGCAAAACGTAACGTAAAAGTTAAACGTCAATCATATTTGGCTGTTTATGCTCTCCTGTAGTATTGGATGGTTATTATAACAGAACATATTATAACATTATATCTCAGCAGGAACTGAAAAGAGGGGAAATTCAGAATGAAAAAGGGGCGCATGCAGGGAAAGACTTTTACTCACTTTATTGAATTACACATTCTTGTATCTGTATAATATGACATTGAGATGAAACATGTTCAGTCGACAATGGATGAATTGTCAGTACTACAGATTGTAGAAATACACGCGTTGGCGGCGCAATCTGCATCTTGATTACCTGGCATTCCCACATCTCCGGGAACCCAGTTTAAGTAAAAGCGACATTTTGAGGTAATACTATATAAAAGTGTTAATATTTTACTAATTGAGATATTCTTCATTTTTTTGCGAATGCTCTGCAGAACACCATAGGATCACAGCCCCAGTTGGACGCATTTTACCTTTTCACTACAGGAAGTTGTCACACAGTTGTCTACTGCTTTGCATAATAATACGGTGTGATGCACTGATAGCTTTGATCCCTCTACTTGGGGACAACAAAGCGACCAAAACACCTGCTGCACCCATTCTCATAATTGATGAACTCTTTCCAATGTAATTAAATCGTAAGGTAAACGCGTCCCGTTGCGTCCCGTACCATCCTTGATGTGGGGCATTTATGTCTTACAGACATTTTCTAGTTATTTCTAGATTTATTATACACTATGACGAGGACACAAATTGCTTTGACACTCTTGTATTAAATCGTAAAATACTAAAAGCGATCGGTCACGTCTTTTAAATGACAACAGAAACTTGCTTTATACACATCCAAAAAGTTCAAGTCTGACACACACTTTTCATTGAGTGTCTAGACATTGATGTTTAAACATCCAATATTTCAATTTCTACCAAAATTGGACTCAATGCGACTTCCAAATGTGACCTGTTTCATTTGCCGAGGAAGTTAACCAGAGTAGCATTGCCTTTGCTTATGAATACATATTTTCAGATTTTACGGAGGGAGGTAACTATACTGTTGAAACAAATAAGTTACCTCTGAAGAGATTTAGCATGTTATTGAAGCTACACAAGAAATTGTTCAAACAACCAAAAACGACCAATCAGCAAAAATAATCAGCTCACGGTTGCTAGCGGTAGTGACAAGTCATGTACTGCCCTAGAAATTATCACTCCAGCTACCCATTCTGCCTCTTGTGTCAGTATCAACCCCCAGTCCAAATCGAAAACAACGTAGATCCTTGTAGTTCCGTCTTATATGAAATGCAGTTGCATAGTCACCTGCCATATCAAATTGTTTCGTTCATTCAAGCTACGTCTGGTTTCTTGTCTAATTCGACATTCAATTTTAGCTAGTAAAAGGATGGCTGCCGTAGATTCGCAGCTGAGCATGCGCACCGCGTTTAGACATTATTCTTCCGCGATGACGCGTCAGCAGATATGGCTTTGTGTTTTGTTTCTAAATAATTTGGCAATATTGAACTATCAACGTATACCATCATGTTGTATGATGGTCCCTCAATGACGGACAATATTTTTTGAAATGTCAATACGTAGACTTGCACAAGCTCCAGAACCTTGGACAAACTATCAGAATGGAATTCACAAGTTTGAATTAATATAAGGTTTGAATCTTGCTTAGGTCGATTTCATGGTTCATTCGCAGTTCATTAAAATTGTTTCAAGAGCAACTCAATTCATCACCCAATGAAATCGAACAAAGCGTGATTCAATCCGTCATTTTGTTAAACATTGATGTGAAGATCAATGTTTAGACATTGATGATGACGCATACCATGAAGGATTTATTTGGTGTTTAAATTAAATTTTGCCAACTGTATTACGGTTACAACACGTTCGATATGGACAAATATACACATTGTACATTGTGACCATGAAACTCGTACTCTTCTTACGTGAATCACCGATGCCACTACTATATATCAGCTCTTTAAAAAATATAGCAAATTACTTTGTTTTCGTATTTCGTGATATTTAAACATAAAACTTACGTGAATCACCGGTGATCGCAGGCAATGCTGAAGGTTTAAAAGCGTCTTTGTAAAACAATACCAATCCGGCTGGTGACTAATATTGCTGTGTGAGAGATAATATGGCTAGGAGACCGGGAATACCAAATGAACACTGGACTATTAGTTTTTATTTTTTTTTAATTCTGAAGCGCATATTTTGGTTGCGATGCGCCAGACATCCATTCACAGCTTACCAGATATTGCCATGTTGGTTAAAGGAACACACTCCAGACGAAGCGTATTTGTAATACAAATTATCAATAGATTGACCAACTGTCTCGAGTCTCAGGTGAGGAATTTTATTATTTTATTCTGTTTTGATCACTCTCCTGAAATATAATTGCTAATTGTTAAATCATTTATTGAACCTTTTTTAAAAGTCCTATACGTTTGAAAAGACAAAGTATGTTAAAAGAAAACAAATGACGTGTAGACCATTTGATGAAGTGGCTTAGTTGTATTTGACATTGAGATATATGGTGGATGTCGAGAATGAAGCTTACCCTCCCGGGATACATTTGTTATTCTTGTTTTTCTTTGATTTCCTCTTAGTCTTTCCTTCGTTCATATTGTCCAACATTCGTCAATTTATAGTTTGGGTTAAATATTTGATCACAATTTGGTTTACTTTAAGTATCCAAGACTATACTTCAACACCAAGCTGAGTTAATGATGATTTGAACATCTGCAGTATCGGTTAGCACATATCGTATACGATTTTATTTGATCCATTTGTCTTAAAATTCATAGCAGTGATAATAAAGCTTTGACCGACATACGAGTCCGTTAGAAAAAATAATTATTAAATAGATAAGTCATGTATCATCTTGTCATAGCTAGCGCTGGCCTACTGAAACTCAGATAACCCCTGTTTTGACTTTGAACTCTTACATCTGTACATTGTGACACAATGATGTTACTGGCTTACACGCCATAAATAACTTGACATTTGACTCCTTTGCGGATTGTTGCCTTAAGAAAGCTTAACATCCGCCATATCGAAGGACGAATGCAGTATATCACTTATGTTGGATACAGAATTACACTTGTTACTACTTCAGTAAACTGTGTAAAATAGTGTTAATGAATTGCATTTCACTTTCAAGGTCATGTTTGGAATTTAAATTATACTGATATATTAACTGTTTCTGTATAGGTTAAGCAATCTTCTGTTGACATATACATTATGTGTATAATCTTTTCAATTGTGATGTATTACTTTTTCTTATACAAAAATGACACGAATTGATAATTCTAAGAACAGCGTGAAATATTGTAAATCTTATACTTATTACCGTAAATAAACATGTTTGACATTTAAATGATATATTGTTATCATATGTTTACAGCTAAGCTTAGACATTTTCAGTTATGTTATGTTAATTTGTTAACCTATAAATTAAACAAAAAACTATTTTAATCACTTTTGTCCATGCTTTCAAAACACAAGGTCATTTATATTGACATGGGGCGACATTTGATACGATGCATTCATGACTGGCAAAAAAATGCTTTTCATGTGCGAGGGGAAGTAACTCTTCAGATGATACTAAACATTATTGAGTATTTTGTGTGTGCTAATTAACGAATAGTGTAATAAAACCTACCAATTCCCTACACAACTGTAAACAACCTCACATTGTCCTTTTATTGATTTCTCGAAAGCGTTTAATCACATACAAGAGATCATGTTGACTATTGCTTTCTAAACAATCCGTATCAATAGTAGTAATTAATGTAATAGGAGTCATGTATAATTCTGTTTGATCACGGACAAGGTTAAAAATGGAATTAAAAAGGTGTTTTTGTTTTACTATGTTTGACAAAGTAAAACAATCTCCTTATCTTACTATGTATGGAAATGATTAGGAGACTTATTAGCAAGTGCTGATAGATGGTATTATGGTGACGGAAATATAGGAAAAGTCAATAAGTTATCTTCTTGGTGCTGTTTTAATCTCAAGGTTGGTGAAGGGGTTATTTTGGTAATGGCTGTGTTTGCAATAAGATATATTTTAAGGGTTTTCATTCAGTTTAAGTCTTTGGGCAATGGTCGCAATTAAGATATGTTGTAGTATTTGCTATTCCTTGTAATACATTGATGTTGATAATATAAATATGACACTACCCTAGTTGTTATGCTTGCACGTGACATAGAGTCACATGTCGGGTGTCATCGATGAAGCAGATTCCACTTACGTTGTCTCTATGTAACTTTTTCCTTTATTCATTATATGTTGATATTTCGGTATAAGCTTGTTGTTTTCATGTTCTTGCAACTTGGTTGTGTGATGCATTTTATCATATTTTATAAAATTAGTGTTAAATTTGTTTTAAACATTGAATAAAAAATCCACAGTAGACATTAAGACTTGTGTAATTTTACAAATACCGCAAATATAGCTTCACAAGCTGTACAACGACATGAATGATTATTTATCATTTTCATCAATCATCATTGAAAAATAATATTTATTTTCTTCTGTCAGTATAATTTTGTTAGTGGACGCAGTCGATGAAAGAACGTAGGAAAAATTCTAATAAATCAATCAATCAAGCAGGCCTCATTTATTGGTTTAGAATTTGTTTGGGTGTTTAGTATAAACTGCCCACTATCCAGTACTGAAACAGTTATCATTAAATAAAATGGTTAGGAAATGTTGGTTGTATAACATAAAAGGACTTATTTTTTCTAACAACACTAAATATCCCTGCTTAGTCCCCAAATTTGTCGTAACCTTGATGGAAACATAGTTTAATCATCAGCATAGTTTAAACAAATAATCATATATACACATTTGAAACAAACATTACTTTAAATACATGCAAATGAAACTAATGTGGTTTTTTTTTTATTTTTTTTTAATTTAAGATTTGTTTTGGATTGTGATCGGATTAATTACAATACACAACAAATAAATGGAACCGTTAACATACGCTGCCAAAAAAACGGATACGTATATTACCCTGTACCATTTATATCAAATTGCAGGACGAATTATAAATCATTAAACAAATATTAAGAACTTGGTGAAATAAAACATCCGGTTTATATATCAATGTTTGATATAACACATTTCGAAACTTATGAATCTTATTGAAGATGTTCTGACTAATATCTTCTCTAACTAACAGTTAATGTTTTCAAAAAGCAAAGGACGATAAGCCTCCGTTGTTAATAAGAAGAGTTTATACTAACTTCTGTAATCAAATAAATGTCGAGTTATCTCCCTTCCTATGATGTCCATACAATATAATATCTACTAAAAAAGAGACGTTTGATGTTTTGAATATCTTATTATTTCTCGTATTTTACTTAATACAAATACAACGTAGATAACACGACACAGAATATCAGATTATTCCAAGTTAAAAAGCTTGAATTAAAAACAAATACCATTGAAATTATTTTTGATTACGATCTTAGCTGGCTTCAACGACATAAATCATTTGAGACAAACAAACTGATTTAGAAGTGCACCTATAAATCAAGTTAACTTATTCATTGTTGGACGGGCTATAGTGGTCCCAGTATGATCAACAATTTGAGCCGGAGCTGCATCCGACTCAAAAAGTCATGAGTCGTATTATACATTTCGTTTATACTAATATCACATATATGTAGAAATGTATACGAAAGTGTATCCTTGTTGGTACTATAACGGCCAATGATGCTTTTATTAAAAAAAAACTTTAATGGTGCGATACGTTAAAAAAGGGGAAAAGATATATCTAACATGAATATAAAAAGAATGAAATACAATGGTTAACGCCATTCTATTGTATGTATTATAATAACATTATGATTTCATGATGGTCAGTGATATCATTTTGTCCTTTTTTAATTTGTTCAATTAAATAAAAGACTATGTAACTTTCTTTTCCTGTGCAGTTTTCTAACGGAAAAAGATGAAATACTTTGCAAGTAAAAGGCTTGCTATGAAAGCATATCTTCTGTCACCAATGGTAGAACCTGAAAAATCAAACAGACATAATTAATAATGACACTTTATATATTTTTCGTATAACGTACAATCAAAATTGTATGGTATGCTTTTCACAACCTCTTCTCCTAGTTGTTTTGATTTGTAAATGTGTTTGTGCGATTTGCGTTTGAATTGACAAACTTTTATTGAGAGACAGCGCGATACTTAATTTTTCAAATCATTTGACCATCATTTAACGGTTTGTTCGATTATTCAGTATTAAGGGATACCATTTGACAAGAGGTATAATAATCACACTACAATTTTAATAATCTATCAAAAATTAAGAATAGAGGTTTTTGCAGTGAATATTCTTTTCAAACTCTTGCATCAATACGATCTTCGCAAGCAGCAGTGTTAGGAAAATGTTGATGCACCTTTACTAATACTGACGACCAATTAAACAATAAACCAATTAATGAGGCAACATTCCATCAATCTATTCAGTAATCAAAATATCGATAAATATTAGAATCAATCCGCACATGCATATACATATTGCCTTACCTGCAGCCAAACATAAGCAAGGCATGAAGAAATCGACAGATATTCATATCATAATGGCAGAAGATATAGGAAAAATAAGAACATTCAAAATACGTTAGAATACACAGAAAGGACATTTCATCAATGTATCCATTCATTCATCAGTTAACTGGAGAACAGCATGGTGTTGTTTTTTTTTGCATTATACAGTATAGAACGCTCTTAGTTTTTCTGTAACGGTCATACCGTTATTGGCGCGGACGTGGCTGCGTGTGGTGTGGTCGTGGTAGTGGTCGTGGTCGTAGAGGTAGTCAGAGATGGACAACCGGCCTCATTACAAACATCGACAACACAACGTAGGTATACAACAGGAGAATCAACCAATCGGAAACCGACCATAGTACATGTAGCTTCAGATTTTTTAGCTTTATTATTTGGAAATGTTCCTAAAACACCATAATCAGCGTTTGGTTTCCTGAAAGAAATTGAGTACACACTGAAAAACGTATATGAGACTGTCTCTATAAAAAGTATTTCATTAATGAGGGATACGGCACATTTACATGTATGTTGGAGTTGTCATTAAGGCGTATCACATG